GGGTTAAACCACAGAGCCTAGGGCTTGCCGATCAGAAGGTCGACAGTTCGAATCCCTGCGACGGGGTGAGCTCCCGTTGCTCAGTCCCTGCTCCTGCAGTTCGAAAGCACGTCAAAGTGCAAGTAGATAAATAGGTACCACTCCGGCGGGAAGGTAAACGCCGTTTCCGTGCGCTGCTCTGGTTCGCCAGAAGCGGCTTAGTCATGCTGGCCACATGAGCTGTACGCTGGCTCCCTCGGCCAATAAAGCGAGATGAGCGCCGCAACCCCAGAGTCAGCCACAACTGGACCTAATGGTCAGGGGTCCCTTTACCCTTTATAATGAAGTATGCAAACTATCATGCTTTCCTCTTTCAAGATTTAACTGTAGACATACTTGTGTTTTAATAGGATTAAATACGTTGAAAAGAAATGCTTGTTAGATATCTGCTTTCTTAAAGGTAAAGGTATCCCTGCCCATACGGGCCAGTCGTGACCGACTCTAGGGTTGCGCGCTCATCTCGCTCAAGAGGCCGGGAGCTGGTGCCGTCCGAAGACACTTCCGGGTCACGTGGCCAGCGTGACGAAGCTGCAACTGGCGAGCCAGCACCAGTGCCACACATGGAAACGCCGTTTACCTTCCCGCTATAAAGCGGTACCTATTTATCTACTTGCACTTAGGGGTGCTTTCGAACTGCTAGGTGGGCAGGGGCTGGGACCGAATGACGGGAGCTCACCCCGCTGTGGGGATTCGAACCGCCGACCTTACGATCAGCAAGTCCTAGGCACTGAGGTTTTACCCACAGCGCCACCCGCGTCCCCCTATCTGCTTTCTTAATTTTGTTCAAATATTAATATAATTAATTATGTGAATGGAAAACAAACATGCAGTTTCCAATTTTCTACTATAGTTAAGAATTCAGAAAACATTGAGTTGGATGCAGAAAGTTTCTTCTGCTCACATTATTATAAACTCAAATGTTCTGTTACTTGCTGAAGCTTGAGAGGAATCTATCTATTGTAGCACTAAATGAACAAGCATTCGTGGAGAACTGCTAGTAGCTAATTGACTTTTGCTCATGGTTCTTTGGATGCAAATTACTACATGCAACAGTTTCACATGATATACATATAATCTGAAGGAAATGAGAGATTTCAATATGTGGCCATTAAAAGTTTAAACCCCAAATGATGTATAATGATGAGAAGTGTTGATTAAGAATACGTATGTTGAAGAGTTGCAAAAATCTTTCAGTATCAAGTGCTCAAGGGATTATAGGCTGGAATACAAAACAAAGCAATCAAAGTATAATTAGGATTCTTATGATATTTTAATTTATTTAAATGAAGTTTGTGAACTGATCATAAAGACTTTTATGGTCAGAGAGAGACTGATTTCTCAGCCTGATTCAAGAATGTAGCAGGCAGGAGTGTACTTTCAATGACTGATTGAGAGAAAGAAAGAAAGAAAGAAAGAAAGAAAGAAAGAAAGGTCTTCTGGGAACAGACTGACAACTGTAAACTCATCAAAGTAACAGGTCACATATTTGCTAGTTATAGATTGTCTTCTTTTCCTGCCTAGTCTTCCTCATTCAGTAGCTATGTGTAATCCTCCAAACATTACACAGTTATCTATAAGATTACTCAGGATTGAATGGCTTTGGGTTGCAACAGGATGGAAGCTACCTTAAAAAGTAATACACCTGAATACTAAATTTGTTTACTTTAAAGACAGGCCTACTGTTGTCAATACCCTTCACTTCCAAATAAGTTTTAGATTTAAAACCTATATCTAAAACCCTGCTGCTATCTCTATACCATATCCCTCAAGCGAAATACTCAAGAATACAAGTACTTTTTAAAAGCAGTTATTTGTAAACATTTGTGCTTACAGTACCCACTACACAGCTGACAGAAAGACTATGAGACCACTTTTTTTGGGGGGGGGGACGACAATTGTCTTTTATTAACAAGACTTTCTACATCTATGAAACAGACTTACCAAACGCAATCTTACTAAGCAAAACAATGGGAATATGGAAAGCACTTCGTTTTGTTTGCAAGCCGAAAAATTTTGTTTTAAAACAATAATGGGAGCCAGGCTCAATCATGCTTAGCATAAACCGATTAAATTCAATGAAACTTCATTTGGACACAACAACCTTATGGAGCAAGGTAAACTCCTCCCACCCCTGGTTGGATTTTACAGAGCAGTGGGCTCACAACTACATTGCAGCCCTGCTATGCATGGTAGTTGAGGTGGAAGGTGGACCACAACACTGGCCTGGACCTGGTACAGCAGTCAGATCCAAATTGCACGCAACACTGTCACACAGATGCAGGGCCAGCTCTGGATCCAACAGATCCAAGGCTGGCTTAGCCCTGCCCCTGAAATATCACATTCAGCAGACAGAAGTGGGGAAGCTCTACTCCAGCAGTAATGCACAGGTAACTGGCTAACAGCGGCTGGGAGAGGTACACCTCCATCCAATTAAACACCCCCAGCCTTACATAAAGAGGATTCAAATGTTCTGCCTCTATTCTATGCAAGATTGAGCCTGAATCCAGCCCAAACTGCATTTCATACAGTAGTGGTCTAACCTCTGCTTTTAGATAACAAACTATGTAGTATAACAATATTATGTGTACAAGCAACCTTACCATTTAAAAAAACCCACATTATTCCAAAGTCTCTAAAAATATATTCAAGATAAACTGAATTACAGAACATTTCTACACATTTCTAATAAAGCTCAGTCAAAACCAGCGGGGCATTACCAAGTTCAAAACTACTTCTATGTAATTGTGACCCGCTAAAGAAAAGTTTACCTACATTTGAAGTTTTCACAATACATGTATTTTACGGCAATGAAAGTGAGCCAGAAATGTTTTGTCAGTTTGTTTCATATTTACAACAAGCCATCTTATACAGTCAACTTTTATTTAAGTCCCCAGAAACGTCATTCTGCTTTGGATGCAACCTGCACTACCCTGGGAGTAAGTCCAATTGAACTCAGTGAGATTTACTGGTAAACTGACATGCAAAGAACTGCCCTATTAAAAACTGGAGTCAAGCAGATAGAAAAATAAAAAGGTTTTGGTGGAGATAAAGAAGTTTCGGAAGCAATATAAAGCATTTTAAGAAAAAAGCAGTATTGGGTTAGTTTCATTCACATATTTGGCACCACAAACCTCCCCCATCCCCCAATTAGATTTTTCTTGGGGGGGGGGAAGCGCCATGGAGTTTTCGTTCCTTCCAATATCCACAACTAACCCCTTGGCTGACGCACCAGCTCTTGAACTTACCTACTTAATTTGGAGAGGGGAACAGCCTCCGAACTAGTTCTGCGTTCCAGCACTCAGCAGGAAAGTCTCCTGCATAGCCTCCAACCAAGCTCCTTGGCATTTGCAGTTCCTTCTGGCCAGAACTAGAGGCAGGCACTCCCACCACTGGGCTAGGAGCCGCAAGAAGAAACAGCTAGAAGAAAGTTTCCTTTTCCCTTGCAGGCAGCTCTCTCCCCCCCCCCCCCCGTTCTTCTTCTTTATTTAATCCCAGCCTCTTTACGCGAATGCCATACGCACCGTTACCTCGGCAGTGCAACAGCTGGAGAGGTTTCCTCTGCGCGAGGGCGGCTCCTGGGAGACGGAGCCTCGAGGCAGGCTGGACTGGCGGGGCCGTGGCTGCTTCTGGAGGCGCCGCTGTGTTTACAGCCAGTTTCATGCTCTCCGCTCGTCCCCTCCCTCTCCCTGCCTCCCTGCCACAGCCTCGCCTGACATCATTCATTCTCTTACATTCACACACACGCCCACTCCATTTCCAAACAGTGAGTCAGCCTAGCCCTGCTCCTATGCGAAGAAGGCTGGGCTAGAAAAACCGGTTGAGACCGAGGAAGGGAAATAAAAATAAAACGAGGGGAGGAAAAAAATTAATCGAGCGGGGTGGGAAGCCCTGCTCCACAGTCTGTCGCTAAAGGTGGGGATAGGAGGGATCTGCCACAGGGATCAAGGCACGGGTTGGTGCATGCACTGAACTCGCGTTGCAATTAAGAGAGTGGAGAGAGTTGGGGAGCGGATTCTGCAAGGAAACGAGCCAGCTCCTGTCTGGATAATCCTGCTCCTGATCTTCAGGCTACCTTAAACCGTTCTTCAAAAGAAGGAACTCCCTTTAGGATCAAACATGGGCAGAATCCGATCGTTCTAACTGCTGCCTGCTCTTTTCAGCGTTTCAAGGATCCTCTTTCATGGTTTCTTATGCCTCCGTGGTGCACTTTTCATATCAGCTGTCGTCCTTCAAACTTTCCCTACCCACTGCAAACATAAGAGCCAACTCCTAGGGACCGAGGTTCCTTCGCTGCCCCCCCCAAAATATTCCCCCCCAAGTTGATGGGCATTGGCATTCAAATAGTATGTGCACGTAGCGTTATGTGAACAATTATGCAGGGTGGGGCTTACCTGCACCCTCCAATATTTTATTCAAGTTGGCAGCCCTGCCCAGAAATGTGCTTGGCTGACTGCCAGCAATTTAGCTGAAGGGTTAAAGACAGTGACTTAAAAAGGCCACCTAGCCTTCAAGTAAGAGAGCACTGACCAACCTGCACTAAATTAGTTCAGGTTTCCCAGACCATCATGTATCCAGAGAGCAAAGTACAAGTTACAGCAGTGATGCTTGAAGTTACAGTACTTAATTGGAAATAAACCAAGGCTAGAATCCCTAGGCATGCTCAGGTTGCCATTCTAATTCGACTTGCCTGGGAGTAAATCCCACTGACTTCAATAGGGCGCCATCCGCACTACACATTTAGAGCAGCCATGGCTTCCTTTCCACCCCCAATCCTGGGAGCTGTAGTTGGTTAGAGACACACATTCCCCTCGCAAAACTACAATTCCCAGAGTTCCTTAGGAAGAGGAGCTGACAAGCTGTCAACATTTCCCTTTTTTTAAAGGGAAATTCCCTTATTTCTTGCGGATTCCTCGCAAGAAAAGGGAAAAGTTGACAACCACTCTTAAGAGTTGTAGTTCTGGGAGGGGAATAGGCGCCTCCTAACAACTTTCAGCACCTTTACCAAACTACAGTTCCCAGGATACTTTGGAGGGAAGAGGAGCTGTGACTTTTCTAAAGCAGCATGAAACTGCTTTCAGTGTATAATGCAGATGAGGCCTAAGATTTCCTTCAGAGTAGGCATAGATAGGACTGTGTTGTTACCTGGGAGTAAGCCCCATTGAGCAATGGAGGTTAATTCCAAGTAGGCAGGCCTAATATCGGATTGCACATCTATTAAGAGTCCTAGTAAGACATTTTCAACACGATTATAGAGCAGGAGAAAAGATACTTACATAAGAAAGTCATTTTGAAAAATAAAAGTGCAAATGAAATGAATCAGAACTAGTCCTGGGCCTTGACAGTAGCCCGATATGCAGACCAGTAGCAATTCATAAAGCTATTTCCACCACTTTTGTCTCCGCACAATGCTAAGTATCTTTGCCAAATGTTATTAAAGCCAGAGGAGCAAGGCTAGTGAAAAAACAGTGGCGACTTTACACAGAAAGGGGGGATGTGATTGCAACTGTACAAATGTGACTGGGCAGCGGAAGTGAGAAGCGTAACAAGGACCATCTGTATTATCTGTGAATGGAAATACATTTGGCAATATTTCACAGGTAAAAATGTTCACCTCGAGGAAGCTGCGCACGGAATTTCAATTCTGCACGGCTGATGTTTATTAACAACCGGTGGTCCCACCAGAAGTATGTCTTCTGTACCAAGGGCCTAAACCTGGAAGGAAATAAGAACGTCATGCTTAGGTTTGAAAGCTTTGAGGTCAGGATATTATATAAATACCTGTGGTCAAGGGGAAATTTTACCTCAGAAAACTCCTACAAGTGGTGGTAGTCCTTGAGACAAGAATGGCTGCCCCATTTTCCGCGTGGCTTGGTAGGCCTAGCATTGAGCAGCCAGCTTGGCAGCGCCTAGGAAGTGTGGCTTGCGGTTGCTTAGCAACGGTGACAGATTTACCTCAGCCCCTTCTCCCAGGCCAGCCATTTTGCCTGTGTGGCAGATGAGCAATGCTGGCGACAGCAGCGTTAAAGGGAAAGGGCTGCGAGGAGAGTGAGGAGAGGCTTGAATTAAGTGTGCCCCATTTATCTGGAGTACATTATCCAGATGTAGTGGATAGGAGTGTACAGTATGGATACCCAAATTCCAAATTCCTATCGCTCAGTGAATGGCCACCTGCAATCTTTGTCTCAATGAAGTTGTTTGGATGGTACATGAGATCATCAGGATGCCATCCTGAGAATCTGGGACGGAGTAGGAAATAAGAACAAAATAAATACCATAAGTCACCCTGTTTGTTTGGGGCTTTTTTGGACAACAGGTTCCTGTTGATCATCAAAACAGCCAAGCTATTATGTTCATCGTACACAATGTTAATGAAATTGTTGCTTGCCACTTCTGGCCATTTTATGCCCTGCGTAAGGCTCAATATTAAGCAACAGCAATATTTAGCTTTAAATTCAAGTTACTTCATATGAGCCGGTGTGAGATAAACAGTTCTTGGGTTGCCTTTGGTCACAGTGAATTAATGCTACATTGCCTTTTTAAGCACAATTCACCTTCCCCCTTAGGAAAAGCCCAAGAGCAGGCCTGTGCTAAAAGCCCTGCTAATAAATTTATAAAGTTACCAACACCTATGTGGAGCCAAAATTATGTAGTCAATATTCCACATACTGGTACATCAAAAGGCATGGGGATGTTTCTGTAAGTCAACGGTCCTTGAATTGTTTTTTATAGTTATAGGTATAACTTTTTATGGTCATATGACAAAACTGCATATAATATAACCCTGTTTTTGTCTTTTAGTGGTTTATAAGCATTGAAAGCTATAACTGTAGTATGAGAATTTTAATTTCTCCCTCCCCAAACTGAGATTATTTCACTAACTGATCACATACAGTTGAACAACAGTTGACAACAGATCAGTTAGCCCAGAAACAACGCTTGTTTTGTGATTTCAGGATTTTCAGGCCAAACAGAGCATGACTATAATATTAGATGCAACCCTTTTCATATTATTTCAGTGCGATATGCTGTACAATGGCTGGGAAGGGTTGCATTACTCTTTTTGTTTGTTACTATATTATGTATTTTTGTGTTTTATATTGTAAAGTGCCCTGTGATCCTCAGATGAAGTGTACATAATTTACTAAATAAATAAAACAAATTCTGTAGAATAAGAAAAAAAACCCCACACATTAAGAGCTTTTATTTCTAAATATGTAAGAAAAATTCTATTCTCAACAAAAGCCTATAAGTAGTGCATTTGCTTTTCGATGGGGAAATTTGATCCCAGTCTCCTCTTTTCTATTCTCTTTTTCTTTTCTTAAAAAAATCCTTCCCAGGGCAAACTTTTCTGTTCATCTGAGCTGAAGCAAACTCAATTTTCTTTTTCATTGCGGCATTTCTTTCATGAGATCAGCAGTGGTATTATTGGAGATGGTATTACTATAAATGGACACAGCCTAGCTCGTGCATTAAAGTTGTGATGATTTCCAGAAAGATGCCAGGCAGTTCTTTAAGTAAGCATTGTGGCTAGAATGCAGGAGTCGCACCAAAGTTCGGAAGGAAAGAGATGAAAAATTGTGTCCCTTAGACTGGCTGCACTGTTGTCAGGAGTCTTTGTTTAGACCATTTTTACACTCTTGCTGTATACTTATTTGAGTAGTTTTTCTTTGTCTATTAACCAGTACAATGTGACTTCTGTGTTCCACCTCTGCTTTACGTCAACTTTTTCCACCAAATAGTTAAATTTTAAAACAAACTCTCACCTGAGCACCTCCGTCATTAATGGACTTTTGTCTTTATAACAGGCTTGTCAAGTAAGGAGATATTACCCCTCGACTTTGAAGGAAGGTAATGAGTCAGAGAGCAAAGACCATACAGGAACTGCGCAATTCAGTATGTGAAACTAATCCTCACCCCAGCATTCTAATAATACAATCTCCACAAACCACACAGAACACCCATTTTGCTCCCTCCACCTCTGCTTTTATCTGGTGGCTTGAAATGCAGAATCATGAGATCAGCATCAGCAGAATTTCCACATTTTTGGGTTCCCTTTAATAATTATCTGCATGTCATACAGATAGTTAACAGATCTCCACTTCCATAATAATAAATGCTACATATGCTAAATTTGTGGCTGTCACCAGGGGAAACACAACAAAATATGCACATTAGAGAACTCAGTTCAATAAATTTTGCCTGAGATTGCCCAGACTCCTGCAGAGTTTCTGCTGCAACTGACTCCATCGAAATACTGAAGCTACATTTGCACCAGACATTTAAAGCACCATTATGCCAATTTAGCAGTCATGGCTTCCCCCAAAGAATCCTGGGAACTACAGTTGGTAAGGGTGCTGAGAATTTTGGAGGCATCCCTATTCCCCTCACTCACCTGCAATTCCTAGAGTTTCCTAGGAAGAGGGACTGATTGTTAAACCACTTTGAGAATTGCAACTTCTTATTTAGAAAATATGGATACACATAATGATTGTGAAAGTGTGATTTCTTCTCTAGATTTCATTGTGTGTTTATTATTTGAAAATGATAACAAATATTTTTAAAAGTTTTTATATCAGAATGCTGGGTGTCTATAATCATGGATACAGGCATACATATGAAGGTATAAGTTGGAGAAAGTGGCTAGATGCATATTACTGTACCTATAGTTGCCAACTCCCTAGCTAATGTGGCTCCTGTGCCAGCAAGAGAAACATGACAGGAAATTCAGTGCTGCAGCTGTTTACATAACTGCAATTCCTGAATGGGAAAAGTTGAGTTCACTGTTGAAGAAAGGTTTTTGGAATGAACACTATTCTTGCTTGGCTAGATGTTGCCCAATCTCACTCCTACTAATTGAATACTATTCACAGCTCTACAAACATTACAGCATACATTGATCAGAACAAGTATGGCTACTTTATCTAGACTATTTTATCTACTATAGTAAACTAATTCAGGTCTCTTTGTCTAAACTGTTTTGCTGATGTCATACATTGATCTGGTTTCCTCATCACGTTAAGCTAAACTATGTGTGGGTTTTCAGACTGAAGACTGTGTATGTAGCACTCCTCCCTTGGTGCTGCTGCACTATCTGTGACTTAACCACGGTTTGGCTTAGTGTTGTGTCTGAACCCAGGTTTGTGGTTTGTCTTATTCCAGACAAACCATGAGCCATAACCAAAGCTTGTTCTTTGCTTGCCTCTTGCATTTTGTCTGATGGAGACAAACCACAACCACATGTTTGAATGTAACACTAAGCCAAACCAAGGTTTAGTCATGGGTAGTGCAGCAGCAGCAGCAGCAGAACAACCAGCAGCAGAGCAATGAGACCATAATATTCATTCCATAAAGCCATGCATATATTTGTTCATGCAAAACCATGATTTATATTGTATTTTGCATGTAAGAGAGAGAAGACAACAATGCAAAGGATTATATGTGCTCTTTATTTTGAATGGGAGGTGTGTTAGTTTTAAACCAAATCCCATTAGAATAGGTTTTTTATGAGTGCTGGACATTCACAGTGTTCAAAATTGAAGTAAAGAGGAACTGTAGGTGTTTTAAAGCTTATATTGTTTGCTGAATGTCTTCACAGAATACGTAAACAAATGAACAGAATGAAACATATCTTTTAGTGAAACCACTAAAGACTCCATTACACAAACACAGGTAATGTCAATACAGCTTCATAATCCTTATTCAGGCCCTTTATACCTCTTTACTTGCATGGATTAACTAATCGATGGAACTATATTAGGACTGTGACATCTGCCACACATCCAAAAGAAGGGCTGTGACTCAGTGCTTTGCATGCAAAAGGTCCCAGCATAACTCAACATCTTCAGGTATGGCTGGGAAGAGACCCCTGTCTGAAACCCTGGAGAATCACTGCCAGTCAGTGTAGACAATATTGAACTAGATGAACAGAATGTCTTACTCAGAATAAAGCAGTTTCTATGATCACACTGGGAAGAGATATTGAGCATGTGTAGGAGATTGCACTGGACCCCCTTCCTGATGCACAACTTATGAAAAAGCATGCATACAGTTTGTATGTTCAGTGTATACTTTGGAAGGTCTGCAGCTCAGGGGTAGAGTGCATACTTTGTGTGCAAAAGGTCCAAAGTTCAGCCCCTGACCTTTCCAACTGGGTCTCAGAAAGATTCCCATCTGAAAACCTGAAGATCCAATGCCAGTCAGTGTACAACTTAGTCTAAGGCGACTTTCTATACAGTTATATCTACAGTTTCCCAAAGTATGTTTCTTTCCCCCCCAACAAGTTTTTATTAGCAATTTCAATATAACAACATATCAAAACATATCATATTGATTATTTCCCCCCACCCCCCTCAAACCCTCCCTCCCCCTGAGACTTCCCTTAGCTCCTCTCTCTGATTTCTCAGCCCACATTATTCTCTGCATGTTATAAAATTATACAAATCCTCACATTATGTCTACCATGTTATCAATCGATAAATTTGTGTATGTTTATTCAAAACCTGCCAAGGAGTCCAATTCATTTTGTTGTCTTTTTAAGTAATTTGTGAAAATTTCCCATTCTTATTTAAAATCACAGTTGTCCTTATCTCGTAGTTTGTATGTCAGTTTAGCCAGTTCTGCATAGTTCATCAATTTCTTTTGCTACTGTTCTTTTGTCAGGGTTTCCTCATTCTTCCATCCTTGTGCTATCAAGATTCTTGCCACTGTTGTTGCATACATAAATAAATTATTTGTTTTCCTTGGCAGGTCTCGTCCTACAATCCCTAACAAAAATGCTTCTAGTTTTTTTTAACAAATGTCATTTTAAACATTTTCTTCAATTCATTATATATCATTTCCCAATTTTTTAAAACTTCTCTACATTCCCACCACATAAGATAAAAAGCCCCTTCTTTTTCTTTACTTTCCAACATGTATTTGACCCGGTCCCGAAGTATGTTTCAAGGGCAGGTCTGAAGGGGAAGACTTCTTTGCAAAGTAGCACCATGTTTATGAATTAAACAAATACTACTGCAAACACTAAAGGTATCCAGTACTGTATTCTTTTCACACACAAATGCTCTTTTGAAACTTTTGACTACTTATGGGAGTGGTTAGCTGCAAAGCTTCCCTTGCAGGGAAAGTAATAATTCAGTGTTGCTTTTCCATCCAGAAGAAATAAAAAAAATTGGGAGGTTAGGAATAAATACGTCTATGATATGCTGTTGTGGTGCTGAAAATACACTTTGTTTACTGTTTTTGGACACCCAGTATCTAAAGTTAGAAAATGACAGTAATTTCAACGCCACACTTTTGAAACTACACTTAACACGCAAAAGACTGTAAGCTATTTTCGAGGAATTCAGCCAAAAGCTTGAGTAATTAGCTAACCTTCCACTGTGTTGCCCAACCAACCCTACCCTGTCTCACCTTCTAAACCCAGGATTATCCCCACCCAAATGGTATTACCTCCCCTCCCCACTTCCTTTTGAGGCCAGACCTCCCATCTGTGCTCTGCTTTTTAATGCTCTGCAGCTGGCCCACCTGCATTGCATTGCAGGGCAGATAATCCCCAGAAGATTTTGAGTGCAAATGTTTTCTAAACAAATATATTCAAGAAGCCAAAGCTGCTATTTTAAATTGTAAGCAGGTTGAGCATAGAAACCAAATCTTCTTCTTTCAAGTCACAGAATTTTCCTGCATTATATAATAAATTTGGGCAGGAGGGGCAGGAACCAGTAACTCTAACGCAATACCCAAACTAGGTTGGCAATCTAAGTAGTTAATAAATAAATACAAATAACCAGAATTCTTAAGCCTTTATTCTTTCCTTAAGAGGAACGTACCCTGAAACATTATTATGAACAGCACAGTAGATTTTAATTTAACTGCCAAAAGCCTGAATAAATAGAAATATCTTACCTTCCACATATGTTCCAAGTTGATTTATAACATATAATAAAAACAGTTTAAAAGCCAGTTACAAAACAGTACAAAAACAATGAGAGGAGTTAAAAATCAATCCAAAATGGACACCTATGGTAGAGAGGTATTCAGCCAGCTAGTAAAGCTTATCAGAACAACAGTGTCTTCCATTGTTTCTGAAAAGTGCAGATAGTGGGTACCTGTTGTATCTTGACAGCAATGTTGTTCTGATATCTCTGGAACTTTAAGGAGAAACTCTCAGGATAGTTGCAAGAGTTTTGGAACAGTCCAGGAAAAGTGTGGGCTTGACTCAGATGAAAATCAGTCAGGAACACATAAAACTAGGTGTGGTAGAATTTTCACTGGGATTATTAATATTGAAACTGAAGTCCATTTCTCATGTTGCCAGACATATTTGCTGCTGAATGTATAGCCAAGATACAACCAACTACAGCTCTCCAGTTAGTGTGTCTTTATGATACATATGTTTGCAAACAGATTTTCGTCACATCCGTACTTTGTGCCTTGAAACAATATTTGAAAAGCCATTAGCTGCACACCTAAAAATGGCATGTGTCTACATTCTACAGGAAACACAGTGCTGCAAGAATCTTGTGTACTTTAGATTTGTTAGCTGAGCCAATGCAAAAGAATGAGCTGGCGAAATTGTGATTTGGTGATGACATTCAAGTGACTCATGTGACCTGCACTGTAATGATCATGCCCTGACTGCACATTGGCAGTCTCCTGACAGACAGCAACTCTGCTGGATCACAGTAGCAGGCCGGTACCATTGCTGGTGCCATCAGTTTTGGGTGTCAGAGTGTCTTTAAGAATGGTCTCTGTGCTGGGGAGCCTTTGCCTCCTGTTCTAATTAGATAGGATGGATGCATCTCATCATCCTTCTTCCATATTTATTTTGCATGACAACAATGGCAGCAGAAGACATCAATACTGGTCTTGGTTTACTAAAAGCAACGTAGAATGTACTTCAATTGGAACCTATTCCAAGGACGGAAAGTGCTACAGAGTCTATTTAATGTAACCACATGTCAAAGCAGCTACAAAAAGAAACCGGTAGTTCCACATAAGCCTGGGCTGCTGAGCTAAACCTTGAAAGCCTGCCAAAATGAAATCCCTGTGCTTTCCAATCCATTAGTACTTTTTATGGCAGTGTTTGTCCAGACACTATGTTTTGTTCCCAGAATTACCAGTGGGCCTCCTTTGTGAGCATCAGCTAAAAGTGTTCACTTTTCTTTCCACACATAATCCAACATTTCTAAGCCTTGGTTTCCTGATGTTTTCCAAGTGATGGTTGTTTGCTTGTGTTCTGCTTAATATTTCTAAAAGAACTCCAGAATTTACTTTAAAATCAAATAATTATGCACACATAAGCAATGTGCAGATCTGAATGTATAGATGCACACTTTCTGCACACTTGACCAGTGGCAAGAAATTCCAGGGGCAATACTACCTAGGTTAGCTTTCTATTGCATACAAAAAACAAAACATACATACCTAAAAGCAAATTACAAGGAGCATAGGATGCTGCCTTATACTGAGTCAGGCCATTGGCCCATCTAGCTCAGTACCATCTACACTGACTGGCAGCAACTCTCCAGGATTTCAGACAGGGTTCTCTCCCAGTTCTAGCTGGAGATGCTGGGAATTGAACCCGAGATCTTTTGTATGCTAAGCAGATGCTCTACCACTAAGTTGTTGCTGTTGTTTAGTCGTTTAGTCGTGTCCGACTCTTCGTGACCCCATGGACCAGTGCACGCCAGGCCCTCCTGTCTTCCACTGCCTCCCACTAAGTTATAACCCTTCAAATGCCAAATAACATTAATAAGGTGTCGGTTTTCCAAGCCAATATTACAACTTTTAAAAGCCTGATAAAAAAGGCTGCGGCCTGAATCTGTACAATATTTCATATTAGTATATTTATTTGTGAATATACAAACATAAGTGGAAGCAAGCCCAATAAGCAGCAGACCTGCTATCCTACACCAGCTCTTCAGCAAGAGATGACTTCCAAGATGTGCTTAGTCTTCAGTTGATGTCTCTCTTTGCTTCTGTCTTTCTTTGTCTCTGTTCCAAGCTGGTTTGTTTCCTAACTGCATCCACCCACCCTTATGTCAGCTGCTCCCCTGGCAGCTGGTAGGCATCACTTTTTCAAAGTTGTGATAGCTAATTCTTGATCTTCAGAATATTTCCCAACCATTATGTCCCATTGGAAAAATATCAACCAATCTCCCTAACAAAGAAATGGCTCAGCTATAACAAAACTGTACTAACTCAGGTGGTACCAGATCCCATTTTGAAATGAATGTACAAGTCTCTGTTTATCCTGTCGCAACCTCACTGAATGTTGAAACCCACACCCACCCAGAACTTTTCAACATCCTCTCCCCCTCCCACCACAACATATACATTCAGGGAAGGGAGCTGGTCACTGCAGGAGGAGAGTCAGCCTGGCTTCCTCACCAGCCAGACTCATTGCTGTCTCTTAGTCCCCTTCCTCTCTAGCCTCCCCTTCTGCCTCCAGTTCTGAACTGCTATCTACCACAGATTCTTCCGTCTCACTAAACCCTGTTACCTCGTTAGCTTCTAACACCTCCTCCCCCCAGTCTGCTCTCTCTTCTCCCTCTGACCATGCATCATTGTCTCTCCACCTTCTTCGCTCGCTCTGAGCCTTCTTTACTTGGGGTTTCCCCAGGTAGTGCCTCCCACTACTCCTCTGCGTCCAGCCAGCACTTGACATCAAGTAAAGAGGCCTTAGTATAGTTCAAAGACACATTCCCGCCAGGCAAAAGCACCTGAGAAAAATGTGGGCCAAAGTGCTGCATGTATGGCCTGGAGAGAGATTAAAGGATCAGAAATAAAGGATGGGGTGGGGGCTGCATTCAGGTCCCTAGTCTGGGATTCCCCATGCCTCTGTCAGGCCTTATGATGACAATGATGATACAGACATAATAGGCAGAAAGAATTTTGAGAAATTTGAGGGAAGGGGGAATAATCAAGACGTATACCTTTTACCTGTGGGTTTTTAAAAAGTTATTTACAGTATTTCAATGTAATATTTTGAAGAGCAGAGCAGATTCGGTCAGAAAAATAAAATGCTTACTAACTCTCTCATCTACAGCTGTTCATACTCTTGGCAGTACCACTTTGGCTATTAATTTGAATCGCGCTGAAAAGAAAGGTGGAAATTGTGGACAGATTTACACCAGGGAAAGTAAATAACAGTGGTGGTGAAAATGGGGTGAAATCAGCAGATGCAGAGGAACAAGAAATTCCAGTAAAACATTTTCTTCACATCACTGTGCTTAGAGTACCAAATGCATGATGAAGAGGTTCTCTGGAAACATGCAATCTGCGTGCCGCTGAATTGCAGTCTGTGTTCTGAATATTAATTTGATTCAAGGTAGTGCCTGAAAGGACTTCGGAAGGAAATTACAAATTATGGGAATTAGATATTACATGGAAATGCTTTAGCATCTATAACTGGGACAAATTCCAAGTAACTGCCTTTGCAATATAGGACTGCTGCTGAGTCATCCCACACTGCTCTATAACAGTGCCTTATTTTTGATTATTCATGCTGGCATGGCCTTAAGAGTTTCAATATCATCAAGAAATAATCTAAGATATAAAAAGGACTCTGAAGATTTTCTTTGAGAAGAAATAAGGAGCCTGTAGGGTGGGTGGAACTGATTCAATTTATTAAGCCTTATTTCCTGTTTCATTTACCAACCTATCTAGCAGCATGCTCATCAAGATTTGCTGCTGCAAATCAGATTTTAGTATGCAAACACTTAAGATTGAGCTGTGCCAATAGCTATGCCAGCACAACACCACAAAATGTAATATTTGCCCATGCCAAAATCAAAGGAGATGGTAGAAGCATGGTAGAGAGCCCTTATAGACTAGTTTCTCACTCCCAGGTGTATTCTGCAACATTTCATTGATGCAATATCCGCGCATTAGTGATGGATTTATACAGGACCGCCAACACATCATTTCACTTGTGCAATGCTGCCCCAATGTTACTACATTTTTGCTCTCTGCAGGGATGCTGTTCCACTATACAGAACCAAAAGCGGGACAAAACCTTAGCACAATTGTGGTATAAAAAGTTACAGGATTTCTGCAGGAAGTATCGGGATGTACATTGATTGGAAACAAAGCAGTATGTCAAGTATTCAAAGCAGGATTGTACAGTATATAACTGCCCTGATATCATCCTGAGCACGAATCATAATGAATGCACAATTAAAAATATATGCTTGGAGGACTGTTGCCATGTCGGCCATGAGAGATTGCCCCAAGAGACTGCAACCCTTCAAAAGAAAAGAAAAAAGTCTTCTGGTGCAGTGTAATCTATGTGATTTAAGGAATAAATTAGGAGTGTGTAGGGAGAAGAGTGTGGCTCTGTCCTAAAATAGAAAACTGTTGCATGTTTTTACAAAAATCAGATGCGCCTGGTGGTTTGCTGGGTTTGTTGCAAGCATGAAGGTGGTAAGATCAAACATTTACCCTGTTCGTAATTAAAAGGATTTTGAGAATTCATCTTTCTATTTTCTATTTTCCACCTAGCAAATCTTGGATACAAAATTACAGAGCAGTTTCTGGGCAGCAAACTTGTGGGTGGCATATACATAATGCCAGCCAAGGTTAACATAGAAAGTCTCTGATCAAACTGTATCTCCTGGAGGGTGTGTGACATTTTCATAATATTTATGGAGAGTGGCGTATGCTCTGTAATTACTGCTATATATTGGTGTTAAATAATTATATACCGTTTAATTAGCATATTCAGTTCGAATCTTTCCTTAAAGATTGGTACTCCACAGTCTGCTATTTATATGGCAAATTTAGATTCCTCTTTGGTGTTGAAAACGGCCATAGGTTTTCTAAAAGCTGGATTCTGGCTCCTCCTCATGAATTTCTATGGATGTTTTAAAGTAAGGAAAGTGGCAGGAAAATCCCCACAAACAAATCAAAACGAAGGAAGTGAAGCTACTATATATTTTGGTCAGGTTTTTTTTCTTTGTCTGTCTATTCTTTTGTGCATTTGGACACCTCTTAAGATATCTAACAACATTTTGCAAGGTGGTCCCTGAAATCACAGCAAGTTTTTAATCTCTGCTTGGATATAGCTGGATGCCATTTTGAATCAAGATGGCAGACTGCACATTTCAAAACTGCACTGAGTTTAACCAAATTTGGCAGGATAGTTTCTGAGATCATGGAGCAGGGTATTTTTATTGATTTATTCTTAGAATTCCCAAGCAGCGCCAGATATAAGAGTGCTAGTTCTCATTAAACAGGTCACCTGGAAGTGATTTCTATCCAAAACTGCAAGCTTAATTTGCCTTCTCCCCCTTGGTCACACAGAGGATGAAAGGACAAGCCATTCTGCCATCTTTCTTGCCCATTCACAAAGGCAAGAAAGCTAACATAGGACAAGCCTGTGCAAGATCTTACCAAATCATTTCCCATAATATTTCTAATCCTGGATCTTTTACAGAGTTACTGGGTTAAAAGACACTCTGTGAGTTATTGAGATCCACCCCAAAGCTATAACAGTTTCATCTCCCTTCCCCCAGCCAGTGTCTTTGCAGTATACCCAGACTACACACCCAACTTGCCATAAATAAGGGGTAGTTTTCAAGTAACTAATCACTTGTAAACAGTTACTGTTTCTTTTTTAATACCTCCTGTGGTGTTTGTGCATTCTTGGTCATGGAAATCTCCTCCTATGAGCCACAGCCATCTCTTAGCATTGCAAGCAACTGCTGTTGTACTTTGCCATGGAAACACTCTTGACAGAAGTTAATAACACCTGTGGTATACCCACTGTCCTATAGCTATGAGCCAAAAGTTTATTTTAGTTACCTTCAAGTACAACTGCTTCTCTCATTTCAGTAAATATAAAGACAAGCCCTTAATGGGCAGTCACAGTCTTCAGTCTGATTATGCGCACATGGACATTCTCCCATTTTCATATGGTACTTATTTGAAACCATCTCCTGTTCCTCCTGAGTAAATTTCAATTAAGTAAAGACTTCATTTATTTATAATCAGGTAGCAATCTGAAGAGAGCTTTCTAGGCCACAGATCATTCATAGTGCCAACATGGGCAATTTATTTGCACCTTAAACAACAAGCTTAGCAGCAGTATGTGGCACCTGTGACAACTTTGGGGGTCCTGGCACCCCAGAAAAACCTGGAGTCAGAAGATGGGGTGGTAGATGGGTTATGGTGACCCTGTGTCCTACTTTACAGACGGCAATTGTCTATTCTGAACCAAGAGAGGCATGAAGAGGACAGAGGAGAAGTTAGCTTCACACAGGTGCAGTCTCAGATTGCTTGGGGGAAACCCTGGAGAGGAGGGGACTTAGGCAGCTGTGGGGAAGAGAGGACCTTCAGTCTCAGTAACTACTTCATGAGAGCAAGACTTGCTGGCGATTAGTTGCTGTGCTCATTAGGCCCGACACTCCTGCGCAGATCCTGCTTTTGCTAGTACAATGGTACCCTGGGTTAAGTACTTAATTTGTTCCAGAGGTCCGTTCTCAACCTGAAACTGTTCTTAACCTGAAGCACCACTTTAGCTAATGGGGCCTCCTGCTGCCGCCGCGCCGCCAAAGCACGATTTCTGTTCTCATCCTGAAGCAAAGTTCTTAACCTGAAGCACTATTTCTGGGTTAGCGGAGTCTGTAACCTGAAGCGTATGTAACCTGAAGCGTATGTAACCCGAGGTACCACTGTAAAGAGTTAACTCTAAGGTTACCAGATTTTTTTCAGTGAACCCAGGGACACTTTTCAACTTCAATGGATTTTGAATGGGGACTGATTTGTAAATCCGGGGACTGTCTCCGGGAAACGGGGACGTCTGGTAACCTTAGTTAACTCTGACTTGCTCGATGTGATTTACTGCTGTTTCGCTCCTGCCAATCAGGCACAGCTTTCTGGTGCTGATCCCAGCACTGTTGCTATTCCCGCTGCTACTGGCCAGGTACTGTCCAATAAGCCCCTCAGGTGAGGAGTGGGGAACCTTTCTCAGCCTGATGGCCCCATTCTTCTCTGGGCTGCAACCTTTCTGAGAGCCCCATGCCAGTGGTGTGTGGAGCCAGATTCAAAAGTGGGTAGATCTACAAATGTACTCCTTCTACGGTAAGCTAGTTCTTACACAGTGTGGGGAGAGGAGGTGTGGCCTGGAGAGGATTCTAAGGGCCAGATAGAGAGGAGTTGTGGGCCACATTTGTCTCCTGGGTCTGAGGTCCCACACCCTTGTCTCAGGATCTCCCAGTGTGGGAGGGGGATAACCCGAGGACTCCCTCAAATCTGAGATAGCCCTGAACACAGCCCTGAACTTTTCTATTGGTGGTATTCCATATATAAATCAAAATCACCATGATGATTACTGTTGTGTGTGATGCACAGCTCCTGCCTGCGAGACTCATTCTGCTTGAAATGTAGCCATCTGTAACAAAATCCAAATATTTATCTGCTTACTCACATATCAAAGCTGTTGGCAAGAAAAAGACCAATAAACTTTGTTCATATTCCCCCCCCACCAATCTTTTAAAATAATTTAATGTGTTTCAGTCTCAGGAATAATCACTTAACTATCCATCTCTTTTAATGAGATTCTTCTTTCCAGTATATAGTATGTCTGTTCTGATATACAGTTATTGATAAGTATTATTCTGTTGTAAATTTTGACTGGCTAACTCTTCTGACCCTTCTAGGACTGTCATTTCTCTCAGCAAAGGATGTAGGTTGGTGGTGAGTGTGTGCATAATTTTATTATTATTATTATTATTATTATTATTATTATTATTATTCTCCTTCCTTTTCCCTTGATGGGACTCAAGGCAGCTTACAGATAAAAACAAGAATCACTCAAACAGAAAAAGTAAAAACACACACAATTAAACATTGATAGAATTACAACTGTATACAAATATAAAGTCTATCAAAACCATTCCAATAATTGCAATTAAAACAGCACGGCACTAGCCCTTTCATTAAAAACAGTCAGTTCCCAAAAGCCTGTTGGAAGAAGAAAGTCTTCAACTACCGGCAGAAGGACAACAAGGAGGGAGCCAGTCTAGCTTCTCTAGGGATGGAGTTCAAAAGCCTAGGAGCAGGCACCAAGGCGGCTCTGCCTTCATCCACACCAAACATGCCTGTCAGGGTGGCAGGACTGAGAGAAGGGCCTCTCCCAAAGATCTCAAACACTGAGCAGGTTCATTTGAGGGAATATAGTACAGTGGTACCTCGGGTTAAGAACTTAATTTGTTCTTGAAGTCCATTCTTAACCTGAAACTGTTTTTAACCTGAGGTACCACTTTAGTTAATGGGGCCTCCTACTGCTCCCAGTGGGGAGGGGCTCCCGGGGGCTGAGGCTAGTGAGAGGAGGCCTGAGGGGGTCGGGCCAGGCAGCCAACCCAAGCAGTTGGAGCCTCCCACCTCCCTGGCCGGCAGGGAGGGAGGGAGGGAGAGGAGCTACTTCCTTTGAAACCCACAAAATTTAAGGGACATCACCAATAAGGGACAGCAGCAGGACATGGCGCTGGGATAAGGGAGCTTCCCGCCAAATAAGGGACGGTTGACAGCTATGGGCAGGGAACACACAGGGGGAAGAGAAAGGGGACCGTCTTCTTGCGCAGGCCGAAATCCTCACATTGATGGGACAAAATTCACCTTCCTCCAGCCCTCACAGATGCCTCATGGGTGGCACAAAACCCCATAAATTGCTGGCCTCCTCTCCTGGGTCAGCGTCCCCCAGCCTTTGCAACACACTCTTCAGAGCCCTGCCAGTCCCTGACAAGATATTGCCTGCTTCTACATCAGATGCACTGTGCCCTTTGTCACTTCCCTATCATATGGCGATGACAGGGCAGTTGCCCTGAAAAGGTGAAGAAGCAGAGGGGAAGAGTCAGGAAAGGGATTGTGAAATACCTGTACTGTATCTGTATTATTTTCAGAATGTTGCTTGCTGCTTGGAGATTCCAGTGAAGAAGCAGGATACAAATCAGAGCAATCAATACAATTTTGTGCATTGTAACCAAAAGCATTATCTTTATACATTTCGACCCTCAAAATTACACAAAGAGAAAGGAATATTAAGATATTATTATTATTATTATTGGTTTTTAATTTATTTTACCTCTTTGTATTTTAACTTGTTTTTACGTTGCTGTGATGCTTTTCTTTCTTGTACAAAGCAACAAACAAAGGCAATGAATAATATTTATTTTTATTTAAATATTTACAAACTGCACATCCATAGAAATTATAGCAAGGTGGTATATGGTACACCTAAACACACAATCCTATAGTAACAGTAAAAACATCAACAACATCTATCAAAAACTGATTGGTGAATTTCCTGTTCTTGTCTGTCTGAACAATACTGTTTTTAAAAGTTGACTGGAAGAAATCATGGAGGACTCCTGCCGAAGGTCTGTCGGCAAGGAGTTCAACAGCGCAGGGCCTGCCACACTAAGGGCTTGGTTCCTGGTAAAGGCTGACCAAATCTCAGAGATTTAAGAAACTACCCAAAGTGCCCATCAGAAGAAAGGAAAGAGACACAGTAGAAAGAAGGTCCCCTTACACCATACATTTAAAGGACATTTAAAGTGTTGGCTTCTCCAAAAGGATCATGGGAAGTGTAGTTTGTCACAGAGCTGCAGTTCCCAGCACACTTAAGCTACAGTTCT